GGAGACATTTCATGCTAAATGCAGTTTTTTTGCATTTATAAACTTTGTGTATGTGATAAATTTATTTGATTTGATTGCTCCCATTTTTATCTTCTGTTGCTAACATATTTTATGAAGGCAATGCATTCCACATACAGAAAAAGCTATTGAACATATATAATTTTGCATTTTAGGTAAAAATGATTTTTATCAAAACCGTAAATGTAATTTGACACTTTTTTATTGTTTATCAAGGAGTAATAAAGTACATAAGTTCTTACATTCAATGTTGTCAGTACATCATCACATCACTTTCCAATTAGTGTTTTCTGGAGAAGGAAAAGTGGCTGAATTTGAGCTTTGCTAACACCATCTCTGATGTCTGTGTGAAAGATGATGAGGTGTGTTTGGGAGTACTTCTGTCATTAAAACTCTGGAGTTAGAGTTGAAATGATGCTCTGCCTTGTGGCRTTTGAAATTTATCTGGCTTAGACGTTTGGGTTCCAGGTTCTTTGCTGTCCCACAGACCTGTGACATACAATATTAGTTACAGTTCCAAATTAGAATGTGACTGATCATTTAATTATGATTTAAGTTCTGATTTGACACATGGAAATCAATAGGCCAATTGGTAATGAAAAATCAAAACAATTACATTTTATTTGCTTTTTGTACATTTCAAACTAACAGTCAAGCACAAAAATCAATTTATTGAAAATAATTTCACATCTGTACAGTAAGTGTGAGTATATCGTAGTTGTTCAATTAAAAAATACTTTATTGATCACAAAAGTAAAATATATAATATAATAGTAATTCAAATGCATGTATTTTAGTTTAGCTATGCTCCCCAGTGAAGGTAAGGACACAGAGTGTGTAAATAAATAACACACCATTGTGACACATTCGTTTGAAGATGTGGTTCTGCAGGTTTGTCATTCTGAGTGTCWTGCACTGGGTCAGACTCTGGCTCGTACATGTAAGGCTGGATTGACAAGTCTACTGTTGTTGACATCCTTATACTTTTTTGCCATCTGCCATCACTAATATGCACCATATACATTCATTTTTGTACTGTACTTTACGGTGTATATATGTATATAAATAAGCATATGTGTTTATGTATATGTGTATATGTGCATTGGTACATTACTATATATCACATGAGTATATTGTGGGGTTTTGTTTGTTATCTTTTATTAATCTTTCATTATTCTTCTCAGCCTCTCTTGTATTAAGCTGCAGTAAAGTGCCAATTTCCAGACTGTGGGATCAATAAAGTTTTATCTTATCTTATTTTATCTTAAAAACAGTTTTTAGTCGGTAGGTAACTGTGTTGTTGCTATGAAACTACAAACATGGCCGAACGGGGTGGAGTCGAAGGCTCAGCGACCTGGAGGGGGCGGGGTGTGAAATATCTCACCTGTATTTAAAGAGACCGCACCAAAACAGCTTGCTCTGAGGCGCAACTCAGAACAGGGGTAAAGCAAGGAAAGCAAGGAGTCTGTGGAGCAACAAAAACGAGGAATTAAGACCAAAGCGTTGCAGTTTTATTTTAAATAGACCATAAGTGAATGATTTAGACGTGAAAAAGAAGGATTTAAAAGCATGATATGATACCTTTAAAATCATGAATGGTCCCATTTTTTTTTAACTAACCAACTGCAAACACATACTATGCAAGTTTGTACATGATGGTATTTTCAAAATGTGACCAAAATAATCCCAACTTTGTTGTTTCTAAACAATAATCTCAGTTTTAAACTGAGACATTTCTCTAATAAATCCTTTAATTTACTGTTTTTGTCATTTAGGGTTTCTAAAGGTTGCCCCCGGCTGCTCATTAACATGGAGAAAGCAGGAGAGGTGAGGCTTCACTAACTTATTATTATTCAGATGACTTATTCTGACTCAGCATTACATCCATACATGTTTATCTCTGCAGGCTGATCCCATGTTAGGCTTTCTGGGTTTCGGAGGAGGTATGGACTTTGACTCAGAAAAGGCTTACAGGTGAGACAACAGCCTCATTTCACACACTCCTGTAGAACACATATGTGTTTAAGGTCAAACATCACTGCTTAATCTGGCACATAAAACATTGCGTGTTCTTTGTTCCAGATGGTCAGTATCAGACTGTTTAGCACTTCACCACCAGGGGGCGCCATCAATTTTTAGATATCCAGTGGAAAATGCATTATTAAAGCTCAAATTCTAAATCACCCTCTTACTCAAACTTTCCCTTCATTCAGACGTCTAAAATAAGTCATGGTAAACTAATTTCTATTGATGAAACAAACAAAAAAGGGAGTTTCTGCTATAAGAATTCCATAGAAGATAATTTCTCAGCATTCATTTAAATTCAGCTAAACTATGATTTCAGAGAATCTTGAATATTTGGAAAGTCATCCAAGTGTAGAGAAGTTCCTGCTCATTAAGGGGACAAAGCTCAAAAGAAAAATGTGCACATTTTTTTTCCAAAAGGTAAATATGGCTGTTTTATCATGAGGTCTTCAGGTTGTACTGTGATGATCTCTACTAGAGGTTTTCCTCCAAGTACAAGTTCTTCAGTTTGGGTACTTACTGATATCAAATATTGATACTGAATACTTACTGAGTTAGAACCTAAACATTACACTGAGACTTTAAAAACACGTTTCTTTTATTTAGAACAAAGTGACCTACAGCCCCCTGATTGGATCAAATAAGCAGCATGATATGTGCTGCTGCAGCATTTTAAATGAAATAAAAATAACCAATAGGATTTTCTTTGAACTTGTACACATTTCTTAAACATGAAACCAACAGACGTTTCACTTGAAATGTAAAGTGTAACACATTCAGTGGAGTGTTGATACCAGTGTAGATACTGGTATTAGTATCATATCGTTCTGAGTATGGGGACATGTCTGAGTATTTATAAAATAAGTTGGTATAAGGCCCTCTACTTTCTGACATGTGGGAATGTGTCTGGTTTGAAATATAAAAAGAGGCTCTTTGTTGCTCTTTTTTTTCTGTCCTATTTTTTGAAGACATAAGTGACCATATTTGGACAAGAATGTGAAGAAGTACTTAAAATGGAGCAAAAAAACACATTTTTACTGTCCTTTTTTTTTTACTAAGCACCAGCAAACAGGTAAAAAAAAACCTTAGTAAGATTGACAAGCAGCAGCATTTGTGAAAGGTTTTGGGGAATCTGATGGAACCAGCAGTAGAGGCTCAGAGTTTTGATCATAAGCTGATAATCTTGTGTTGCTTCCAGTGGTTTTCTCAGGTTGTGTCGTACTCCTTGAGAAAGGTGTTTTGTTTTAAAAATAAAGTGGACTTTGTTCATGCGTCATATTTTTCAAATGATTTGTATAAGAAAATACAATATGCTGTGGTAACATCTTCATGTGGCTGATCAGCTGATCGGTTCTTTGCCTTCTTGCAGAGACGTGGCTCATATCAGCTCCTGTGACGAAGGCTGCTTGGCTCTGGCTGACTTGTTGGGCTGGAAGGTGGGTTCAGGGGTCTTCTTCCTGTGATCTGGTGTTTATTTAGGACTTTCCCTTCTTGTGCAGCATTCAGTCACCACAATATGATCTCACATTATTCTAAGGAAATGAGATTAGTTTATACTGAATATACATTTTTACAATAAGCTAATTTCAACTGGGCAATAAAAATCTGTTCTGTTCTTGTTTATTTTCTCACATGTAATAATGCAGCAGAGTCCATTAATTAAACTGGTCTCCATTAATATTTCTTTCAGCTTTCTGAAAGCCTTCCAAAGTTTTTAGTTGGACTCTTTTTCCTCTTTTTTTTTTTATACCAACTTTACGTTGGTGGGCACAGTTCTGTGTTTCCGCTAGCCTCTTTAATAGTGAAACTTTTGTTTTGTTTAGCAGTTTGTCATTTGCATTAACTTTACAAATTATTAACTGACTTCCCTTTCGCTTGAATAATTCTGATTATTAAATTGCTGCCAGAAGTGTTGCTGCATACATCACCTCACTGACTTTGAGCAGCAGCAGCAACAACAAGGAGAGTCACGTGGTGACATCTTCCCGAAGCAGAGGACAACAGTTTCTGTGTTGGACTCTCCTCTTATACACAGACCAGATCTCCTGACTCATGGTTTTAGTTTACAGGCAAAGATGGAGACTTTAATTTAAATTTGAAACAAAAACTCAACAAGAATTTGTCCAGAAAAACCACACTCAAAACTATTGTAAAAAGTCAGACAAAGATAATTTTAAGATGTCTTCCCAGCATCCTTTGCAGCTGGGATGTCATTAAGACACACTTAATTGCAAAAAAAAAAAACAACAAAAAACAAAGATACACATCTAATCTGGGGCATACAAATATTAGTTTTTTAGTGTTAATAGTGTTTAAAGATAAGAACTAAATCAGCAGAAACATGATTTCACAAGCTGTAATTTCTAACTGCCTTTTCCCCCATAGCTCTGCCTCCTGGCTTTATCATAAAACATGGTGGCCATTACCCAGCATGCAATGCACCGTGATGTAGTTTCCCATTCTCTGTTTGATCAGATTTCACCTCTAACAGTGACATGAATATTTATAATAGATCTATGAAGAATTTTGAATTTTGTTGACCTGCTTTAGTCACATTACACTGTATAGAGTTGTAAGAGAGAAATAAAAAGTGCAATAACTGTTTCTAACCTGCACCACACTTTTAATCTGTTCAAAGATCAAAGTTACTGATTTACATTTATTCACCTTTTTTAATCAGACTCAGATTTACCAAAGTGTGAGATTCGTATGGTCTGCAGGGAATTCTTATCTCAGACCAAAAATACTTAAAGGAGACCAATTATGGGTCCTAGAAATTTTTATGGTATGTCTGTGGGCTATCCAGACCATGTTCATTCAATTTAATGCACAAAATAATTCTCAGATAATAAAATTTCCCATTTTCTAGTTCTGCCTGTTCTGACTTCTGTTCAGAAGAGCTGTTTATGTTAATGAGCTCTGTTGGTAACGCCCTCCAAAAATCTGTTGAYATTAACTCCGCCCTCCAAAGCCAGCGTTTACGTTAGCATGGCTAATAATAGCAGATGCTCCGTTGTACAACCATATGAGTCCCAGAGGCAGAGTCGTGGTCACAGTTTTTTCTCTCTCTCCCTCCTCTGCTCTGCGCTAACTCTGCATGCTGTTATCAGAGCAGGGAGCAGCAGCGGTCAAAATACCTCAGAAACTCGAACAAATATGCTTTAACAAGGCTTTAATAAGCTAATTAAGAGAGGTACAGCGGGTAAAATAAGTATTGAAAACGTCACCATTTTTCTCAGTAAAAACACTGCTCAAAAAAATAAAGGGAACACTTAAACAACGCACGCTAAGTCCAAGTAAATCAAACTTTTGTGAAGCACATTCAACTCTGTACAGAACAAAGTACTCAATGTGAACATTTCATTGATTAAGATCGGGAGTTAGCGTGCATTGTTTAAGTGTTCCCTTTATTTTTTGAGCAGTAGTGTTCCCTTTATTTTTTTGAGCAGTGTATATTACTAGAGGTGCTAATGACATAAAATTTTCACCAGATGTTGGTAACAACCCAAGTGATCCATACATACAAAGAAATCAAACCATAAATGTCCAGAAA